CAGCAGTGGTGGTGTGGTGGTGGTGTTGGTAGGGTGGTGTGGTAGGGTGGTGGTGGTGGTGGCTTTGGTAGTGGTGGTGGTGGTGGTGGTTTTGGTAGTGGTGGTGGTGCAGGTGGTTTTGGTGGTGGTTTTGGTGGTAATACGGTGGTATTGGTGTGCGTGGTTTGGTGGTGGTTTTGGTGGTGGTTTTGGTGGTGGTTTTGGTGGTGGTGGTGGTGGTGGTGGTGGTGGTGGTGCGGTGTGCGGAAATGGTGGTATTGGTGGTGGCTGCCTGGTGGCAAGTAGTGGTGGCTTTGGTGGTAATGGTGGTTTTGGTGGTGGTGGTGGTGGTGGTTTTGGTGGGTGCGGCGGCTTCGGGTAAGTGGGTGAGTGGTTTTGGTGGTGTGGTGGTTTGGTGGTAATGGTGGTTTTGGTAGTGGTGGTGGTTTTGGTGGTGGTTTTGAAGGTAGTGGTGGTTTTGGTGGTAGTGGTGGTTTTGGTGGTAGTGGTGGTTTTGAAGGTAGTGGTGGTTTTGGTGGTAGTGGTGGTTTTGGTGGTAGTGGTGGTTTTGGTGGAAATAATGGCAATAACAGTACAGTAGTAGTAGCTCGTCATATACTGGCAATAATACCACATCTATTCTGCCACAGAACACATGCAAGGAGTAAGTGCAAGGAAAATGTCACTACAACGAAGAGAAAACGGACAATATGGCAGAATGGGGCTCTTGATGATCTCCTACTCAAGGCAACAACACTGCAGGAGACACTGAAATTCAGAGGAGACGAAAAACAAATCACCGAGGATGTTATCAGAAAGTTTGGTAACAAAATGTGTGTGGGAAAAGTGTCTTCGGTGGTAAGATCTCTCACAGAGGAATCCTCCGGTGGTGTTCTGCCAATAAACAGAGAGAGAGACATTACGCCAACTGAAGGAAAAACATCCCCCTGCAAGTGTAGAGGAAGGCATCAGGTTTCAGGGTGACTATATCCCACCAAATGCTGCCATGTTTGAGTAAAATAACAGGAGGGATGGTGTGGTAAAAAAGAAGTGAAGACACAGGCACTTCAGGCCTGGATGCAGACAGGTGGAGAGTCATCCTCAGCACTAACAAGTTTGGGACGCTGCAAGTGATTTCTGTAATTCCATCGCCGCCCTTGCAAGAAAGCTAGCAACCTCTTGCTGCCATCACCTACAAGCTCTGACAGCCTGTCGCCTCATTCCCCTGGATAAAAATCATCCAGGATGTAGGCCTAAAGAAGTAGGGGAAGTGCTGAGAAGGATCATTTGAAAATACATAATGGAGGTGGTTAATGATGTTAGGGTAGCTGCAGGGAACCTGCAAGTATGTGCTAGCCATCAGGCTGGGGGTGAAGCTGCTATTCACACCATAAAGAAGATATTTGAGCAGAGCAATTGTGAAGCTGAACTCCTAGTTGACACTTCCAATGCATTCAACATAATCAACTGCAAGGATACACTGCACAACATCAAGATCAAGTGTCCAAGCTCTGTAATGTATGTTGAAAACACCTGTGGGAACCAAACAGACCTCTATATAATAAGCTTCAAGGCCCAAAGAGAAGATACCACCATACAGTCAACTGAGAGAACAATGCAGGGGGGACCTTATCACCACGGCAATTTATGCACTAGGCCTATCCGTGCTCCAAAATGCTATAAAATTTGAGACAACCAAGGTCAAGCAAGTGGCATATGCCAATGACCTAAAGGTGCGTCCACACGTGCATATGTTTTGTCGCCAACATGTGAACGACAAGACAAAATTAAGCACAGGGTTCCTACTGGTGGGGTACGGCCGTGTATTAGCCCGTCTAACAGACAGTAATACAAAGGTGGTAGCAGTTTTATGAATCTATGAACAAAAACCAGTGTTTTGGAACAAAAACTGACGATTTTGGACTAAAGTTTCACATTCTCCATTATTTTGTTGTTGTTGCACTTGACATCTACCTTTCTGAGAGGCGGTAAATTTAATTAAACACTTGTGACGTCCCAGTTCAATGTACAAGTTTCTATTATTGTTATTATAAGTAATTTGATACATTTGATCACTTAATACGTGGCACACTGTACAACGCAGCATCACCACACCCTGAACTCTGTCTTCAAGAAGTTCTCAAGGTTGTTTCAGCTACTAAGCATAACAGCATCAGCAAGCCTTTTCTTCCAGCAAGCAGAAGCACCCCAGCCCCCCCCCCCACCCAGGGTACCCTACCCTAGTCTTCAGCTCAGTGTTATTTTGATTGGTCAACATCCGGCTGGCTCAGCATTCTCTCGACACCTAGCTCATACCGTATGATTCTTTTCTTGACCAACCCAGTGTCATTTTACTATGCCAGGATGGTGGTAAGAACTTCATATTTCAAGGTTATTATTTTATTATATGACTTCCGGATATAGTGAACTCACCAGTAGTGCCGTCAAAACCTTGGCAACCAATCTTTTTTTTTCCTTTAATTTTAGTTTAACTTCAGATCTGATATCGTTATTCTTTAAATGTTAATATTGCTCCCAGCAAACTCAATCTAGTGTCTCACAATTTAATATTATTTACTTATCGCAATGAAACACAAACTCCCCTTCATTTGAAGATATTATTATTATTTTTTTTTTGGTGATTCCCAGTTTTGTTGTACCAATTTTTAGTCTCATTTTATCAATTTTATGTATGTTTTGATATTACAGACATCTCTCTTTGAAAGTTTCTATTGTACATGTTACAGCCGACACATAAGGTATTTAAGGCTAGGAATTCAGACTCTCAACTCCCAGGTGTGGATTCCTCAGTTTAGCTACAGACACACTATCTTTTATAACATAGATAGGCATCTATAGGTGTTATGTTATACTACGTGGTTAGTTTACTCCTCGTAGAACTCGGAGGATGGTGGCCGAGCAATGTATTAGCTCCTGTCTAACAGACAGTAATACTTATATAAATGTGGGTTACATACATTAGGTTTATATAATTACATCACCCACAGTAACTTTCCTACGAGCCATGAGTAGTCATCAAGTGGACATGTGACAGTGTATTCCCACTGTTCCCTCACACCTTGACCGCAGTCATCAATTAAGTAGCCGGCTATTACCAGTTCTACTCCTGTCTCTAAGCCACTGACACGTGCACTCTAAGAAGCTAGATATACCCAAGCTTCGTCCATTATTAACGCTCACAGCTCATAGCGTTAATTACAGTGATATCCCAGTTATTGAACAATAGTTTACTTTCTTAATAAACGGCAGAGAAGACCATTTGGGTTTGATAACTTAATCCATAAACATTTATGAATGTTGCTTCCAGCTCCTAATTAGTGCTACCACAGGTAATCGGAAACTGCAACAGTAGTGTGCACTAGACTGGTGTTTCCTCTTGTTGATTACATGTTGGCGACAAAATGTAAGCAAGTGTGGACACACCATCATTGGAGCAGGAAAAGTGGAGGACATCTAAAAGTGGTGGGACCTGGTAACATCATGTGGTCTACAAATAGGGTACCACCCAAGTGCAAGCAAGTCCTTCCTCACTGTGAAGGCAGAATACCATGACTGGGCAATAGAGGTGTTCAATGGAAGTGAGGTCAAAATAACAAAGGATAGCAAAAGACACCGAGGTGCGGTAATCAGCATGAAGGCATTCCCACCCAATGCATGTGGCTCATCCTATGACATCGACCACATCCATGAGACATGATGAAGAAAAGAATCTCACAGCAGATAATGCTGAAGGACATCTGCCACAACGTCACAGTAGAACCAAACCTCCTTCCATTAAACAGTGAGAAACTCCATCACAGGATTTCCAACACGTCAGTGCTAGAGGATTCTGGATGCGGCTTAGCTAACTCAGCTAAGGGTAGTTACTTTTGTATTTGAATATTTAATATTAAGGTAAAAAAAATGGTGATGAAGGTGTGGCTATTGGGGGAGGTTGGAGGCCACGTTCTGTAATAAAGATAAAAGTAGTAGTAGTAGTCGTAGTAGTAGTAGAAAATGGCGGCGAAGGTGTGGCTATTGGAGGAGGCTGGAGGCCACGATTGAAAAAAAAAGTAGCAGCAGCAGCAGTAGTAGTAGCAGTAGTAGTAGTAGTAGTAGTAGGAGAAGGGTGATAGTTTTAGTAGTAGAAGCGTTAAAGGCGATAGTAATAGCAGTAGTAGAAGAAGAAAAGGCGATAGTAATAGTAGTAGTAGTAAAAGAAGAAAAGGCGATAGTAGTAGTAGTCGTCTTCATATGCATGAGGCATGACGAAGTAAGGGACCTCACAGCAAATACGTTGAAAGAAATGTGTCGTGATGTCAGGGTAGAACCATGTCAGGGTAGAACTGACCCTCCTTCCATTGGACGGTAAGATTTTCCAACATAGGACTTCAAACACATCCAATGAAGCCCGTGTTGACGTTAGTGGCTCGAGGATTCTGGACACGGGGACAGCGAGCCTTCTTCGACATCGGGATTTTTTATCCCATGGCCGCAGGTCACCGTAACTTAGCTCTCAATGCTGCACACAGTAGGAACGAGAACGACAAGATAAGGGCATATGGGAAGAGAATTCAGAAGGTTGATCAAGGCAGCTTCACTCCTCTAGTGTTCACATCCTCTGGTGGGATGGGACCAAGTGCAAGATGCTTCTATGCCAGACTCGCGGAGGTGATATCCGAACAGAAGCAGCAGCCCAGAAGTTATGTTACAGCCTGGATGAGATGTCGACTGTCCTTAGGTCGGCTTTGCTCTGCCTCAGGGGAACGAGAGCATCCGCCCCAAAGCCGACAACAGTTGCAGATATTGACTGAGGCAAAAGTCACTGAATGCCGCATAGATCTGTGGCTCAACTAACTCAACACAGCTAGGATAGCTACTTATGTATTAGGATATTGAATTTTAAGGTAATAAAATAGTAGCGAAGGTGTGGCTATTGGGGGAGGCTGCAGGCCACATTTAAAAATCGTAGTAGTAGCAGCAGAAAAAAGATAATAGTTGTAGTAGTAACAGTAACTTACCGTATTAACGCCCTGTTGTTCCACGCCATTAGCTACAACAGGAGGGCCAACAGGAACCTGAACTGGTAACCCTCCTGCCACCGTTGCTCCACTGTTAAGAGAAAATTAGTAGTGTTAAAGAAAATAGGGTGTGGTATGTTGTTGTTTGCCTATCAATCTACGTATCCACGAATCTAAACATGTATCAACCCATCTTTCTAAGGATGTAATCTATCTATCTATCTATCTATCTATCTATCTATCTATCTGTCCCTTAACTCAGCTGGGGTCTCACTTTGGAGGGTGTTTTTCTCACCCATATAGTCCATTAGAGAAATATGTTACCTTAGGGACTTCCCTTTCTCATATCGTCTGTAAAATTAAATGTCTCCAACGGATTTTGACCTTATGAAGTAGTATCTCCCACATAGTCCGTAATATTGGGTTTCATTATCTAATAGGATCTGCAAAATCAATTATTATTCCTTAAAATCAATGTTTCAGTCCGGCAAATCAATATTTAGTGCATATTATAAAAGCAAATTCCCTAAATTTAATGTTTATTCCATTAAATAGAGGTAAAAATCCATAAAATAGTATAAAACTTCGTAAAACAGATGTAAAATCCATAAAAGAGGTATATCCCATAATAGAGGGCAGCTCCTTAACATTGAAGAAAATCCATAACACAGAGGGTTTTAACCTTACCTAGAGGAGACGGTGACAGGAACAGGCGGTGCTGATGCTGGTTGTGGTGTGTGAGGTGCTACTGGCCCGCCAGGAGGCGCCGAAGGTGCTCCCGGCGGGGTAAATGGGGGTCCCTCTTTCCCAGGCGTGTCTTTGCTTGTTGGAGCTTCGCCATTTTGGGTGTAGGCGAAGGGCGCCGCCATAGTCGTTTGTACCATGTGCTGGAAAAATGGTGCAATGTAAGAAACAATATACTGGAACAATAGTAGAATGTACTGGAATCAATGTAAGTAACAATATACTGGAACAATAGTAGAATGTACTGGAATCAATGTAAGAAACAATATACTGGAACAATAGTAGAATGTACTGGAATCAATGTAAGTAACAATATACTGGAACAATAGTAGAATGTACTGGAATCAATGTAAGTAACAATATACTGGAACAATAGTAGAATGTACTGAATCAATGTAAGAAACAATATACTGGAACAATAGTAGAATGTACTGGAATCAATGTAAGTAACAATATACTGGAACAATAGTAGAATGTACTGGAATCAATGTAAGAAACAATATACTGGAACAATAGTAGAATGTACTGGAATCAATGTAAGTAACAATATACTGGAACAATAGTAGAATGTACTGGAATCAATGTAAGTAACAATATACTGGAACAATAGTAGAATGTACTGGAATCAATGTAAGTAACAATATACTGGAACAATAGTAGAATGTACTGGAGTCAATGTAATTAACAATATACTGGAACAATAGTAGAATGTACTGGAAACGATGAAAGTGACAATAAAATCGTAAATAGTAATTTATTAATATAGATATACTGGTTTGTATCATATGCTGGAACAATGGTGCAATGTTAGTAATAATGTACTAGAACCAATGAACCTATAAAATAAGAACGGAGTCTTACATAATGTAATCTAAAGTAACAATGGAACAACATTGCCATCCAGATCTGTACTAAATGCAGGAACAATGGAACATGTAAGTAAGTTTAATAACAATGTTGAAATGCCCAATATGCCCATATACCAAAGAGGAAAACTGATAAAATTTCCTAAATCGGCCTTAAACCGAAAATCCCCTACGTTAAAATGTCCACAGGCCTAAAGCGTCAAAAATATCCACAGGCTAAAAATGCCATATGTTAAAATGGCCAAAATATCCACATAAGAAATATCCAATGTTGAAATGTCCATAAGTAAAGAATGTGTACAGAACAAAAGAAATGTCCAATTGATAAAATGTCCAACCACAAGAATGCCAACATAGATTTTTATTCAAGGATGGTGATTTACAATTTCAAATCCATAAGTTTGGAATGTGAGAGAGAGGGAGTGAATGAGTGAGACGCGCAGACACACTGACAGACAGGCAGAGATAATTGTCCTAAACACACACACACACATATATATATATATATATATATATATATATATATATATATATATATATATATATATATATATATATATATATATATATATATATATATATATATCTCAGAGAGAGGGAGAGTGGGGGGGTAACGAACAACGTACCGGTAGACGAAGAAGTAACGGATGCCCCCCCCCCCCACACATACATAGTACACGCAACATCGCAACATAAACGTACACACACCTACACACAACATAATAAATAATGGTTGCCCCTCGTGTAACGAGGATGGCCGGCCCAAGGGCCACCTAGGCGTGAATTTATTTAAGGTGTAGAAGCTGTCGCCAACACAACAACCACACCCCAAGTTAACGAGCTGCATGACCCAGTGTCAAGGAATAGTCCGAGAAGACCGAACAACTCGCCAACTGCACTGGCTAACCATTACCCCGGAATACGATCCGCAGATCGATTAACATCCAGGTCCCCAATTACTGCTGGGTAGACAGAGGCAAATGGCCTAAAGAAACTTGCCCATAGTTTCACCCTGCCTGGGGATCGAACTCGGGTCCGTTCACTTGAGGCGAGAATGCTGACCATTACACCACACGACATAAACGTACACACATGCAACATAAACGTACACTCACACACACCTACACACAACAAAAAAGTACACACATACACATACATTCACGCAACATTAACATACATGCAACATAACCGTACACACACACACACACACTCCTCCAGCACCTCTCTTGTCCACATCTACTGTATAGCGACACCACACACACAGTCCGTTAAATCGAAGGTTTCATATTACTGACTTTAAGAACTGCATCCAGTACCCTTGGCCACACCATGTCCACCTGTGGCCACCTCATCGACCACTGAGTCATGTGCCACACGCACTCTCTCTCTCTCTCTCTCTCTCAGTCTGTCTGTCTCCCGGGCGGCCGCTGGTGAAAGTATGTTACGGCGGTAATTGTGGTGATTGTGGTTGGCGATGGTGGTTGTTTCGCGACCTACATGTTGACGTAACCGAGCTATGACTACCGATTGCTGCTATGAGTGAGTTTCTCTCTCTCTCTCTCTCTCTCTAACAGTAATCCCACAAGAACTTCTTCTATTATTGCTCTATTCTCTCTACAGTACTACAACCATTTTCGGTACCGTCTTAAAATTATTTAGGTAGTAGTGGTGATGATGGTAGTGGTTATGAAGTTAGTAGTAGTAATAAAATGGCGGCGAAGGTGTGGCTATTGGGGGGAGGCAGGAGGCCACGTTAAAAAAAAGTAATAGTAGTAGTAGTAGTAGTAAGTTTGTGCTGACCAACGAGCAGGAGGGGAAGCTGCCATTCACGCCATGAGAACGATATTTGAGCAGCGCGATTGTGAAGTCCGTTCTCCTGGTGAACGCTTCAAACGCATTCATCATACTTAACCCCAAGGCCGCACTGCACAACATCAAGTGTCCAAGCTTTGCAAGGTATGTTGAAAACTCCTATAGGAATCCATCAGACCTTTATATAGTAAACAACAAGGCTCTAAGAGGGGATACCATCATACAGTCAACAGAGGGAACAACGCAGGGGGACCCTGTTGCAATGGCAATGTACGCAATAGGCCTATCCGTGCTCCAACACACAATAAATTTTGAAACAACTGAGGTCAAGAAAGTGGCGTACGCTGATGACCTTACAGGAGCAGGACAAGTGGAGGACATCAAAAATGTGGTGGGACTTGGTAACATCACGAGGCCCTCAAATAGGGTACCACCCAAACCCAACAAGTCCTTCCTCATTGTGAACCCAGAACATTATGAACGGGCAATGGAGGTGTTCGGTGGAAGTGAGGTCAAAATAACTAAGGACGGCCAAAGACACCTAGGTGCATTAATCGGCATGACGGACTTCAAGACCGAGTACGTAACGGGAAAGGTGAATGAGTGGGTCAGAGAAATCTAAGCTCTGTAGTAGTAGTGGAGTAATAGTGGTGGTGGTAGTGGTGGTGGTGTTGGAGGAGTACTAGTGGTGGTGGTGGTGGTAGTAATAGTAGTGGTGATGGTGGTAGTGGTGGTGGTGATGGTGGTAGTGGTAATGATGGTGGTGGTAGTGGTAATGATGGTGGTAGTAGTGGTGGTGGTGGTGGAGTAATAGTGGTGGTGGTGTTGGAGGAGTAATAGCGGTGGTGGTGGTAGTAATAGTAGTGGTGATAGTGGTAGTGGTGATGGTGGTGGTAGTGTGGTGATGGTGGTAGTAGTGGTGGTGGTGGTGGTGGTGGTGGTGGTGGTGGTGGTAGTCGTCGTGGTAGTGGAGTAATAGTGGTGGTGGTGGTGGTAGTGGGTAATAGTGGTGGTGGTGGTAGTGGTGATGGTGGTAGTGGTGATGGTGGTAGTGGGGGTGGTGGTGGTGGCAGTGGTGGTGGTGTGGAGGTTTGGTGGTAGTGGTGATGGTGGTGAGAGGTGATGGTGTGGTGAGTGGGGTGGTGGTGGTGGCAGTAGTGAGTGGTGGTGGTGGTGGATAATGGTGGTGGAAGTGGTGGTAGTGGTGGTGATGGAATGTAGTGGGGTAGTGGTGGAAGTGGTGGGGTTGGTGGAGGAGTAATAGTGGTGGTGGTGGTAGTGATGATGGTTGATGGTGGTAGTGGGGGTGGTGGTGGTGGTGGAGTAATAGTGGTGGTGGTGGAAGTGGTGGGAGTAATAGTGGTGGTGGTGTGGTGGTGGTGGTGGGAGTAATAGTGGTGGTGGTTGAGTAATAGTGGTAGTGGTGGAAGTGGTGGTGGTGGTGGAGGAGTAATAGTGGTGGTGGTGGTAGTGGTGATGGTGGTAGTGGTGATGGTGGTGAGTGGGGGTGGTGGTGGTGGCAGTGGTGGTGGTGGTGGAGTAATAGTGGTGGTGGTGGAAGTGGGGAGTAATAGTGGTGTGGTGGTAGTAAAGGTAGTGGTGGTGTTAGTAGAAGTTGTGGTGGCGGTGGTGGTGATGGTGGTAGTGGAGTATAGTGGTGGTGGTAGTGGACTGATAGAGTGGTGGTGGTGGTGGTGGTGGTAGATGTAATAATGGTGGTGTTAGTGGTGGTGGAGTAATAGTGAGTAATAGGTGGTGGTAGTGGTTGGAGTAATAGGTGGTGGTGGAGTAATATTAGTGGTGGTAGTGGTGGTGGAGTAATAGTGGAGTAATAGTGGTAGTGGTGGTAGTAGTGGTGGGTGGTGGTGGAGGAGTAATACTGATGATGGTGGTGGTGGTGAGTAATAGTGGAGTAATAGTGGTGGTGGTGGAGTAATAGTGGTAGTGAAGTGGTGGTGGTGGGAAGTGTGGTGGTGGTGGAGTAATAGTGGTGGTGGTGGTAGTGGTGGTGGGAGTAATAGTGGTGGTGGTGGTAGTGGTGGTGATAGTGGAGTAATAGTGGTGGTGGTGGTGGTAGTGGTGGTGGTGGTGGTGCTGGAGGTAGTGGTGGTGAAGGTAGAGGTGGTGGAGGCAGTGCTGGTGATTGTCGTGGTAGTGCTGGTGGTGCTGGTGGTGGTCGAGGCAGTGGTGGTGGTGCTGGTGGTGGAGGCAGTGGTGGTGGTTTGGAGGTAGTGGTAGGTTGAGGTGGTAGTGGTAGTGGTTGTGGTGTGGAGGTAATGTGGTGGTGGTGGTTGTGGTGGTGGAGGTAGTGGGAGTGGTTGAGGTGGTGGTTGTGTGGTGGAGGTAGTGGTTGTGGAAGTGTTTGGGAGGTAGTGGTTGTGGTGGTGGTGATAGTGGTTGTGGAGGTAGTGGTTGTGGTGGTAGTGGTTGTGGAGGTGGAGGTAGTGGAGGTGGTGGATGTGGTG